ATTTATTTCCCTTAACCAAAAACTTTTTGAATTTTTATTAAACAAGATTTTATGCACCCAAATTTCTATAAAAATTAAATTATTTTCAGCGGTTAACAATAAAAACGTTATGAACAAATTTAGGTATACCACAAAGAGAATATAAACGAAGATGTAGTGAAATTGCATATATAACGTGCCGTCGGATATTATTTTTATTAAATTTCTACTTCACTATATTATGTTTAAGCTTTGTATTAAATATAATTTAAACTTCTCGGTATACGTTTTCTCATTCACATAATAAAGTCACGATTACATTGGAATGTATATGTGTATAAAATGTATTGTCATCTCAATTTTTTTATTTTATTATACGTACCATCTAGTTAACAACGAGACTCCCATTTTCCTGTCAAATGGTCAGATTAATTAATGAAAGTTTCGTGTTGACCAACTTAATAATTACGGTAAGGTTATGATATTAAATTTTAAAATGTTGATTGCATAGCATAATTAAAAACATTAAATTAAAACACATTTGTTATTATTCCTGCGTATAACTTTAATCTTCGAGGGTGTATAAATATTCATATTATTTTTATTATTGTGGTACGTTTTGCGGTTATTTCTCGGTATTTTATGAGATAGTAATTCTCACTCTTCACTCCTTTTCATTCAATTAGTTTCTTATTAATAATTTACGCTATTACACTTGTCAAAGATTAATATATTTAAAAATATCTAGTTATTTATTATTTTGCTTAATCAAGAACATCAACAGTTGACAATATACATCAATGTATTATTATTAATATTTTTGAATTACTTACAGTACCTCCGATTTTTCAAAAAAACTTTTATAAGGTAATTAAAGTTAAATTATATTTGCTATAATTATATTATGCGTTGCTGTTTTTTTCTAAATCGTTCAGCAATCATTAAGTTTTAAGAAGTTCAAAAATGTGTGAAATATATTTAATTTATCTTAAATTATTAACTATTTATTTAATCGTATAATGTCAAAAAATATACTTGTTCATATAATAAGAATTAATTAATCATCAATTATTTATTTGTTTGCCTAGTCACACCGTAGAACTAGACTTTAATTAACTTGAGTTTATTTTATTTGACAATTATACAGATCAATATACATAACATTAAGTACTTAAAACTGACATTTTTTACGAATAAACAATTATTAAGCTTCTACGACTGTTAAAATTTTATTCGATAAATTAGAAACTACCAATAATATTTATTAAAAAAAAAAAAAAAAAACAAAAAAAATACGTACTCTTGAAAAAAACTAAAAAATAAATAATTTTTACTTATTCACTATTAGTGTACCAATAATCGGTTAGGATTGATCCCAAAATCTTTAAATATTATAATTAAAATAAATAAGTATATTTATCTAAAAAGTATTTTAGACTTGTTATATTATACTTTGAATTTTTTTTATAAAACATTTAATCTTTATGATGACAAATAATATTAACTGATTGAAATATTGTTATAACCTGTGATTTATTATTTACCTGCATTATTTGTATTGTAAAAATTAAAATTTGCGAATAGCTAAAACCAAATTTGATTAGGTGTCTAAATATAGATATAAATATACACTTAAAATAGCATTGTTTTTATCAGCTNAAATATAGATATAAATATACACTTAAAATAGCATTGTTTTTATCAGCTATCTATTCACATCCAAAAAGGAAATAAAGTTGAGGCTTTGCTTGAGCAGTTTAAAAGTAATATAATTTCAAAAGTGTAACAATAGAAATATAAGTTACAAGAAAGCTATCTCAGGGGCAGTATTAAGTTACAGAAATCGAAATTTTATTGTAGTGGTAAAAAGTTATAAAACTATCGGAGAAGAAAACATTCTAACTAATAATTTTTTTGCAGTGGTACGAATTAAATTGTTGAAAAAATAAAGTCCGCCATTATGTTATAGACAGTTAAATCGGAACAATAAATGTAAAATCTAAAAAGTACATATTTGTCAAAAATCTATATCAGTGAATTCGATTTTGGACCAATGTATATTTGTATATATTGAAATTATGTAAATAGTGAATAAATGATATAGTAAATGGTTGAAAATCAATTAATTTTATTATGTTGAAACTTTCACAAAAAAAAGAAAACTATTGACATTACTTACGAATTACATGATCTTTAAAAAATTATGCATTAATATATATTTGTCTTTGAAGAAAGTCATGTAAAGACGTTGTAATTATTTATTCAAAATTTTCTATGTGATCACAGTAATAAAATGTTTATATATTATGAAAGATGATTAGCATCATTATAA